GACAAAGATATTGATGAGTAGGAATAGATGATTCAACTAACTGGAAAAAAAAAATCAAATTTATTTTTCTGAAAGTGATGGCGCTTCATTTCATTGGGCAATATTATAATTTCATAGAAATTATAATTTCGAAAATCAAACCCATAAAACGAAATTCAAACCCATTTTTGACATGAAGAATATCATAATTTCATAGAAATCAAACACTTCAACCAAACCCATTATCGAAATCAACACAAAATTAAACTAAAAAAATCATGTAAACCCTAGATGAAGTGTGAGAAATGGGGAAATAGGGGAAGGGAGAAAGAGCGAGAGAAACAGAGACAGAGGGAATGGCTCGACACAGAGAGAGTGACCCAAGTCGACAACGAGGGAGAGGACCGAACGCGACAGTGACAAACCTGTGAGTTGCGGTAGTGTTGGTGGTGATTTCGGCGATGGCGGTGGCGATGTGCGACGGTGGGGATGGACGGTGGCCAGCGACAGTGGTAGTGACAGTCGGTGGTGAGAGGGAGAGGCAGAGGGAGAACCACTGAAGAAAGAGAGAAGAGGCGCTGGTTTGTGGTTTGGAAACCAAAATATATTTATTACACCATTGGCGACTAAAAGTTTTTAGTCGCTGAAAGTATTTCATAAATCCCTCCAAACTATTTAAAATATCTCTCTCCAATAATTTTAGTTCTTTGGCAACTAAAATTATTTTTCATCGTTGAACATAAACTTTTGGCTATTAAAATTTTGGTCGCCAAAGGTAAAAAATAATTTTTTATTTTCCAATCGGCGACTAAAGCGTTTTAGTAGCGAAATCTCTGCCTACGGCGACTAAAATTATTTTTCGTCGCTGAAAATAAACATTTGGCAACTAAAAGGTAAAAAATAATTTTTTATTTTCCAATCGGCGACTAAAGCGTTCTAGTAGCCAAATCTCTACCTACGGCGACTAAATTTTTTTTTTGTCGCCAATTCTAGCATTTTTGGCAACTAAATTTTTTTTTAGTCACAAATAAACAATATACCCCGACTAAAAAAAAATAATAGCTAAATATTTTACTTTTGCCGACTAAAAAAATTTGTAGTCGCCATTTCTACAACTTTTGGCGACTAAATTTTTTTTAGTCACCAATTTCGGTCGCCAAAGGTGCATTTTGTTGTAGTGCATGTTCTCTTTGGGTTAGTTTCTTTCAAGTTCAACTCTAAATTTGACAGTTATGCTTGGATTGACGGGGCGCATCATGTGTCTTGTTTTGATGTTTATTTTGTAGAGTTCTATAGATACATAATCAAAATATTTTTATTTTATTGTGTTTATCTAAAAAAAATAATTAGTCTATTTTCAAAAATGCACTAGTCGACCATTTTTTTGGAGTTAAATGCACTAAAATAAAAAGACTACAATTAACAAATTAAATTAATTTTTTTGATAAATGATATACACAGAAATTGAACCTCTCTCTTTTCCTTGTTGATTTGATCAAATATATGTATCTTCCAAATTGAACCACCAACTCTCTTTTTCCTTCTTTATTTTATCAAATGTATAATAGGAAATTCAACCACTAACTCTCTTGATTTTTTTTTTTGGTTTTTTTGAACAGACTTTTCCTTGTTGATTTGATCAAATAAATTGAACCACTAGCTCTCTTTTCCTTTTTTGATTCGACCAAATATATATATATATATATATATCTTCGAAATTGAACCACCAACTCTCTTTTCTTTGTTGATTTGATCAAATATGTATAGGAAATGGGAAATTCTTTACGGTGTGTATGATATACACATTTAGTTACAATTTTATGTTAATGGTTATGATTTACTGTGTGTTAGTTACGACACGTTGTGAAGTTGGTTATAATATTATTTTAGTTATGATTTAAGAATTATTTAATTATACTTTATGTGATATTTGATTATAACTCAATTTTTTTTTTATTTTTTATAATAATTATGACTCTTATAATATTGAATTATATATCATTTATAATAATCAAACTCACAAATAATATAACTTGCATATGACATACTCATAGGAAATTGAACTCCTTTTTTTTTACTTGTTGATTTGATCATCCTTTCTGTATTTCTTTTCGATCATGATGGATCTCCAATTGATTAACTTGTTTGTTGATTACACTTTGTATTAGCTTTGATATAAATAATTCATGGTGTTCTAGAACAATAATATTATGAACACAAAAACTAAATATAAAATAGAATATATGTGTTTAATTTATAATTATAGACTTATTGGTTTTGCAATGCAAGGTGGAATAGAATATATGTGTTTAATTTATGTACACTTTATTAGACTTATTGGTTTTGCAATGCAAGTAGGATGGTGGTTTAAGAAGGTGGTAGTGTACAAGGGCAAAATGGGTATTATGAAAAAATATTTCGTGAAATTAGCAATATCCATTAGTCAATAAACGGTTGACTAAAAGATGGGGAGATTAGTATCCTAAAATCAAGGGAAGACGGGGCTATTTTAGATAATAAAAGGGCGTCTGTGTAATTTTAGAAGTATAGAGGAGTCCTTATTTATTTGGTTAATTGGAATGAGAGTGAATGAAATGAATGATAATTCTTAATTATTTATTTATTTATTTATTTATTTATTTAAGAATGAGCATTCCCTAAAACTGATGTAAGATCATTTTATTGCGATGTATTTGTTATTATTTTTTTATTTAAATTTATTTTACCTCTTGTGATTTGTGGTTGGAACACTTTATCCCTATGTGGTTCAAAAATAATCAAAAAGTTCCTATGTGATTTTAGACTAAAGTGCTACTATTAGTTTTTCCATTCAAATTAACGGAACGTGTATTATACACTCTTTTTAGAGTGAGTTTTGTTCTATGAAAAATTAAAATGAAATTAATACAACAAAAGAACAATTGTGTCCCTATTTTCTCCAAACCTAAAATTAGATTAATATGTTAATTAAAATATGATTAAGAATTGATTTAAATATAATTAAATAAAATAAAAAATAAATAATTTATAATTTATAATTTATAATTAATTGTGATTTAATTGAATTAATACTAGATATTATAAATTATGATGAAGAGAAAAAAAATAACAAAAAATATAAGGTCTGAGAGTATTATAGTCATTTCACATTTATAGTTAACAGTGTTAACAATTGCAATTTAGTCCAAAATCATACGGGGAGCATATGACTATTTTTTTTTAAAAAAAAAAAAATGCTATCAAGCCATGTCACAGAGAACTGAAATGGGTTTTGCCTTAGTTTTTTAGTTTAACTAAACATGAAAATAAATATTTTGATAAAATAAGCATTTCATTCTACTTCAGTGAACCAACCACCACCTAAATGGTAACGAGTTCAAGAAAAATTATCCTACAAATCAAGAAGACTACGTGACTGTGTACCCATAATAAAATAGGTGACATTGCTTTATGTGAAACATTAAAAACAATAATAACAATAATGATTACAATCAATAGGTTTATTGATTTTAATTTTTTGAATTTAGTTTTTCTAAAAATTAAGTTTTTTATTTTTCTTGTTTTTTTTTGTTTTTAGTGAATATTTTTAAAATTTTAAATAATTTTTTTACTTTTTTAGATGTACCTTACTTAGATGTATTTAAAATTATAAAATATTTGTGAAAAAATATTTTTAAAAATTAATAAATACACAAAAATACGAAAATGTACTGAATTTTTATATTTTTTGGTATTTAGTGTATTTTTTAAAGATTTTTTTTACAAATATTATACATTTTAAGTGTATTTATGTTAGGTGTATCTAAAAATTTAAAAAAAAATACTTAAAATATTTAAAAATTTTATTGAAAATATTAAAATATAAAAAATAAAAAAATAAAATTTTCTGAAAACTGTTTTATGAAAATTGAAATCAAACAAGCTCATCCAAAATAAGATAGGATGTTTTCTCCGAGTTGAATGCTGATGGACCCATCGGACAATCATAGAGAAGCTGAGGTCACTGCATTCATCACTGCATTCATCAGAAACATAACATTTAAGAAAATGTCAAATACAGTTTACTAAAACAACTATAAGACATATAATTCAGTTTAAATTTAGAGTAATGATAGGTAAATTAACAAATTTTATACAAAAAGAAAAGTAAATAAACTTACTCACTAATTTTGATGTGATACTTATCACTAATTGTAATTTTTTATTTTTTTATTATATAAAGAATTAGTCATTAAGAAAAAAAATTTATAAAATTTATTAATTTGTATATTATTTTCTTTAACATATTTATTCCACCGTTTCAAAATATTCATAAATGTTTTTTGAAATTTTCATAATTTTAAATTTTGAGCATTTTTTTAATTATATGAGCCATTATTATTGTTATACAAAAATCTATACAATTTATTAATGTGTATGTTATTTTCTTTCACAGTTTCAAAATATTTGTTAATGTTGAATTATGCTTTGAAATTTTCATACCTTAATTTTTTTTTTTACATAATTTAATAATTGTATGTTTTTTAAAATAAAAAGACAAAAAGAGAAAAATAATTTAAGAATAGAAGATCCTCAACCACTAAGATATTGCATTATGCAAAAAAAAAAAAAAATGAAAAAATTTATTGTTTTCACCAAAATAATATAGCTTGCATTCTTAAAGATATAATGTATATCTACCTATCTGTAATATTGTATAAAGTATAAATTTTATTGGTGTGAATCGTCACACTTTTTTCAATTACCCTGTACAATTATCTCTATATAATTACTTTAGATTTTGATTTTAAATTTTAAATTTTGATCAACTTTGAGTTTTTTTTTCTTCTACATTTAATTAGTTGATTTATATATATATATATATATAGTGGTAGATGCACCATATAAAAGATCAATAAAAATCATTTGTGAAACTAATTTTCTTATTGATAATGACATTTATCAAAACCTTGACTTTGTAATAACAGATAAAAAAATAGAATATATAAAGTATAACAATTCAAATTAATTCAAATAAATAGAATATTTATAGAGAGGGAGAGAGGGGGGAACTTAAGAATTAGTTCAGAAAGAGTGATGGAGGAAGAGGAGTGCCATGGATGGGCAGCAAGAGATGCATCTGGATATCTCTCTCCTTATAACTTTGCCCGTAGGTATGTATATCTATATATATATATATATATATGCAAACATGTTTTTATTTATATCTGTACTATGATGTTAGATTTAATGTGCAAGATTTTGGTTGTTTCTCCTTATATTATGTCCTTCACTTTTTTATTTAAAATATATATAAAAAAAATTAGATAGATGAAAGAAGTGAGACCTGGGTTTTGGATCTACAGTGGTGATTGAGACCACTAGTAGAGCTGCTCTAAAAGTAACTCTACTGAGTTAGCACACTTTAAAAAAAAATTAAAAAAAAATAAAGGAAAAAGACAAAATATAGAGAGGAAAAGGACAAATTAATGCTTCTTTAGGGCCCGTTTGTTTTGGAGTTAAATAGATGTGAGGGGATTAGGATGGAGGTGGGGTTATTTAATGTTGTGTTTGTTTGTAGAGTTGGGGAGAGGATTAGGATGGTAGAGGTGATATAGATGGAAGTTATAAGGGGGATTGAGATGGAGGAGGTGGAGATGGTATTAGAAAAATAATGAGCGGATTAGAAATTTTTTTATTTTTTTTATTTTTATATATTGGGAATTTTTTTTAAATATTAATGTTTAATTTTTTATATTTTTTTATTTGTTTTATTATTTTATATAAGAATAATTTAACAATTCTTACACTAACAACTATCATTAAAATAAACACAATTTTACTTAATCTCCTCACTAACAATCCCCTCACTATTAATCTCCTCACTATTAATCCCCTCCATTCTATCTCTAAAAACAAACGGGACCTTAGTGCTCTTTTTTAGTGATCTAAACCATTTTTCTTGGATCTATTATGTGTCCTTCATTTTTCTATGGAAAACGATTTAGAGCTCTAAAAGAGCTCTAATTTGTCTTTTTCTCCACTATAATTTGTTTTTTTTCAGTGGTGATTGAGACCACTATTGAGATGGCATCCATTTAAAAAAACAAAAAAAAAATAAAGGAAAAAGACAAAATATAGAGAGGAAAAGGACAAATTAATGCTTCTTTAGGGCCCGTTTGTTTTGGAGTTAAATAGATGTGAGGGGATTAGGATGGAGGTGGGGTTATTTAATGTTGTGTTTGTTTGTAGAGTTGGGGAGAGGATTAGGATGGTAGAGGTGATATAGATGGAAGTTATAAGGGGGATTGAGATGGAGGAGGTGGAGATGGTATTAGAAAAATAATGAGCGGATTAGAAATTTTTTTATTTTTTTTATTTTTATATATTGGGAATTTTTTTTAAATATTAATGTTTAATTTTTTATATTTTTTTATTTGTTTTATTATTTTATATAAGAATAATTTAACAATTCTTACACTAACAACTATCATTAAAATAAACACAATTTTACTTAATCCCCTCACTAACAATCCCCTCACTATTAATCTCCTCACTATTAATCTCATCCATTCTATCTCTAAAAACAAACGGGGCCTTAGTGCTCTTTTTTAGTGATCTAAACCATTTTTCTTGGATCTATTATGTGTCCTTCATTTTTTTTATGGAAAACGATTTAGAGCTCTAAAAGAGCTCTAATTTGTCTTTTTCTCCACTATAATTTGTCTTTTTCAATATTTTTTTTCCCCACTGCCAATTGTATAGAGCTCCATTAGAGAGCTCTCTATCACTGCCCTTTTTTTATTCTATTTTTATTTATTTAAATTATACATGCATTACATGGGTCAATCACTAATATATATATATAGTGGTGCTATTAGCACTTCATGAATTATTTTGAATCCTCCATTTCTTTAGAACCCCACTTATAAATTTTGAAACCCTTAAAATTTCTTTTCTCCCCCCAAATAATATCAAAATTATCCTTAAACATTTCACCCATTGAATGCACACCTCCAAAAAAACCTCCCTTCAAAAAAACCCTAACAAAACCCATTAAGAAGAAGAAGAGTCTCATCCTTTTCAAAACCCACGAAGAAGAAGAAGAAGAAGAAGAAGAAGAAGAAGAGGAAGAATACTATTTCTGCCAGTTTAACCAACTTCCCATTTGATATTTTTTATTGTTCTTAAATCCAAGCTCTTGATTTGAGCCACAATAATCTTTCAGGGGATGTTCTAATATAAAACTTGTTTATGGTTGTCACCAACCTTACTTATCTTAACCTATCATACAATCACTTCTCGGAGATTAAAATCTCCGATTTTCAGTTCGTAAAACGGTTTAGTTTTTAAAGTTTTCTTCATTATGGACTCGTCCCAGATCGCAAAAAATTCAAAATCAAGGTTCGATTACCAGTTACCGAACAAATAAACAATGTTCGGGCCTGTATTCCCAAATTTTGATCATATGTTCGGGAAATCAGTCCCAAAAACTCCCGAAAAAAATGATGAACAAATTTTATTATTTTTGTCATTTTTTTCAAGAAACTTACTCTTATAAGGCCAATCTTCTCTGAGCTATGAACAACATTAAAATTATGAATCTTCTCTAAATTTTTATTGTTGTACTCCTCTCGTCTTATAGAGTTGTGGTTGCCAAAAAAATTTCCACGCATTATCATTGCCGGAAAAAGTGTAAGTAATCAAATGGTTGTCATTATTATTGTCGGAATATTGCCACCAAAAGATTTTTAAGATTTTGAGGGTGTGTAGGTTTTGAAAGTAGAATTTGGAGACGATGGATGGGTGTTGATGGAAGTATGTACTCTCATAAATCCTAATTCATGATATGGTGGGTGTGTAGGTTTAATAGTGAGATAGGATGTCTCAAAATTAATGATGTCCTGTGTAGTAATCATATTTGAGGCTATTATTGTAATAATAATAAAAAAGCTAAAAATTGAAAGGTCGAAAATAATTTATAAAATGCTAATAGCAACACTCATATATATATATATATATATATATATGTGGGGATATATTTTTTGAGTACCAACACGTGGCAAGGTGACACCGATGTGTCAGCCGAGATGCTACGTGTCCTGGTCATTATGCCGAGGTTATCTCCGAAGATATCGGAATCCGAGATAAACGGATAAGGGACAAGAGTCCTAGAATGAAGAGGAGACTTAGTCAAGATGAGGATAAAGCTCTCAGGGAGTTTATCTTTATCTCTTGAGGAGTCCAAAGTAAGTACTGAATTGGAAGTCCATAGAAGTCAGGTTTCTAGTGGGACTAGGATTGAGTTAACTATAAAAGAGAGGCACCCCGTGGATCTAAGGTACGCAATTTATGCTTTGAGCAGTGAGATTAGCACTTGATTATCTTTGAGAGATATACTGACTTGATCGTCGGAGTTCCCCCGGGTGAAAGAACCACCGCCAGAGCCTTCTCTTTCTGTTGCAGGTTAGCTGAAGCCATCTATTCTGCCGGTGCTCTCTAGCTGATTACTAAACGGGCAGTGTGATCAGAAAATCACTCACACAATTTGGCGCCGTCTGTGGGAAAGTAGAAGAATAGATGGCCAGTAACGGACAGAAGGAAAAAATTGAGGACGACACTCCTGCTGGGAGTGGCAGACCTATCGACCTTGATATCGAAGGAGATAACCACAATGCAGAAACTCGTGACCAAGGCCACGGAGAGAAAGACGTCGGCCAGGAGGGCGAAACTTCAAAGAAGACAGGCCAAAGCAAGTACTATAACGAAGATAACCTCCAGGTATGGAGGGATAGGTGCCTGCGGAGAGATGAAGAAGTAAAAGAATTGGCAAACAAGTTGGCAGACCTGCAGTCAGTCGTCAACTTCATAATGCAAAACAATGTCATGCAGCCACTGTACCCGCTGCACGACACGCCGATTCCAGCAACTAATACCCATAAGGGAGGAAGGAAAACGATCCCCGAAGCCCCTCAGCACACCAGAAGCGGAAGGCACTCTCACCGACCTTCCAGGTAAGTCGAACGAGAGGAGCCGAGACGAGAGGAGTCCTGAATGACGTATCACACGAAGGACCCAGAGCCCAAAGAACATCGGCATGTTCAAGGGCAGGCGCTCTGCTTTGACACAACCCATGCAGAAAGATCGAAACGGGCCCACCACGAGGCCGAAAGTAGTGTACCGAAAAGATTGAAGTCCAAAGATAGCCGAGCTCCAGGGAGGAGTAAAGAAGACTTGAGAGATTACCTCAAGAGGAAGCAATAGAATGCTAAAGCCAAGGTAACTTCCCCGGTTAAGCCGAGGACACCATTCTCGGTGGAACTAGACAAATTTGAAGCACCAAAGAGATTCAGTATGCCGAGGTTCCAAATATATGATGGTAAGTCAGATCCCAACTTTCACGTTGGACTATACCTGAATTCAATGGCATTATATAGTGGGAACAAGTCGTTGCTCTGCAAAGTATTCCCCTCATCCTTGGGGGAGATTGCATCAGATTGGTTCCATAAACTATCGAAGGAAAGCGTAAAGACTTGGGAAGGCCTAGCCGAGATGTTTGTGGCCAGGTTTGTGACAAACAAACTACAGCCCTTGATGGTCAACGCACTGATGGCTTTAAAAATCACAAAGGATGAAGGCCTTAATGCCTACGTAAAAAGGTACTACGATGTGTTCAATCGAATACCCGAATGCAACCAAGAGGTGGCGGTCGTGTCTTTCAAGAACGGCTTGAAAGATGACTGCCCACTACGGAAGTCTTTGGCAAAGACATTGCCAAAAAGCATGGAAGAACTCATGGGGAGAATCGAGAAGTATGCCAGAGCCGAGGAGGATACGTCGGGAAACAAATAGACAAAACAAGTGAAAAGAAACGGCTCGCCGAAGCGAAGCCAAAGTAACAATGGATCGATCAAACAAGAAACGGAATTAAGGGCTAAACAGGTAGTGACGACTGTGTTCCGAATCTTGGTCCACAAAGTCCTGGATCAAATACGAAACCAACCCTATTTCAGAGCACCGACAAGAACACCAGAGGAATTTATGAGAAGAAACGTCGGTAGGCGTTGTGCTTACCACAATGAAGAATGGCACCCAACTCAAGGTTGCAGAGCCCTAAAAGCACACTTAAAAGACTTGGTGAGGCAAGGCCATCTGAGGGACCTTGTCGATGAGG